TTTCAAAGTCCGAATGATAACAGGCTGTGAACATGTTGAATGGATTTTGTGAGCCACTTATGTTTCTACAGTGATGTATACAATCGCTGTAAGAACATAACACCATCTATATCACTGCTATTTCCCAGCTTCTGCACCCAGCAAAGATGTGAAGGAGCCTTCCAAGCTTAAATAGAGGCTGAAACCAGGTATGTTTGCTTGCATGTTAGGCCCAGTTATCTGGAAGGCTAAAAGAGGAAAATCATTTGAGTTTAGGTGTTCAAGTCCAGACAATACAGGAAGCCCCATGTTCTGGTTTCCTTTCTTCTCCTGTCATAAAAACACTCTAACCAAAAGCAACTTAGGTGAGGGGTGGGTCAATTATTTCAGCATGTAAGCTAAGTCCACCATTGGAGGAAATCATGTCATGAACTTCAGGGAGGAATCATGGAGGAGCACTCCTTGTTGGCTTGTTCTCAGGCTCATTTCTGGCATGCTCAGCTAGCTTCCTTTATTGCCAAGGACTGTCCACAAAGGAATGATACTATCCACAGTGATCTGGGGCCTCCAGCATCAACAATCAAGACAATCCCTCACTGACATGCCCACAGATCAACCTGGTAAACACAATTCCTCAATTGATAGTCTTTTTCCAGGTCATGTCAAGTTGATGGTTAATACCAACTATTCCAGTCCCATTTTAGAAATCAATCAAACAAACAAAAATTAAAAATTGACATTGGTGCCAGCAAATGTACTAAAGCAAGAAAATAAATAAATTCATCAGGTTACCCTGGAAGAAATAAAACTGCTGTTACTCACGGATGAACTAATATGTGAAGAATCCTACAAAATATAAAAATACTAGTGTAACTAACTCATAAACCAATAAGTGAAGGAAGATATAAATAAGCAAAGAGTTATTCCAAATTTGTAGACTAAAATACTGAATATTGTTAGAATGGATATTTCTCCTCATATTGAATCATAGAATCAATAGAATCATTATAAACATCCCACCACATAAAAATTTAAGTTTCAGCTCCAACATGAATCAACCTGAAATTTTTTATCACATTTGTGCTTACCCAAAAAAAGTTGGGCAGACTAAAACTAGGTAATGTTACTCAGACACACCAGAAAACTAAGCTGTAGGGTCGATGGTCCCTCCAGACTGAAGAGAACCAACTGCCCTGCAGACTTCCTGTATCAGCAAGCATCTGAAATGTATGCATCTTAATTTCTGCTTCATACGGAGAGCTCTAGTATTCAAGCAAAAGCCTTCGAATAACGCTCTGTCCAGTATGACAGCACGCAAGGAGCCCATCGGTTGTCCTGCATCTCACGTTGGCATCAAGTTAAAAGCAGCACCACAGAGTCAAGTGCTGTGGGGTCAGACTCGACATTACAGATGAAAACCAAAGTGACTGCGCACACTACTCTTTCTCGGCACCACAGCCAGCTAATCCAACTACCTCCACAGGAGTCTGAATACTCATGCTGGGCAACTCTTTGAGCTTATGTTTGTTTTCACTATATCACCTAACTTTGGATTAACTTAGAAGAAACATGGATAATGACTGACTGCAGGTCATCAGCACTCCAACCTCCAGCCCAAAGTACAGATTTCCTGTAACTGTAATTACAGTGTAGGTAGTACCTGGAAAAGCAAGTACCATGAGATAGAGGAAGCTGGCAGGTGCCACAATCCCTTTCGGTGGGAGCTCCCACTCCTCACTCGCACTACCATGCAGATTAAGCCCCTACCATGAGTGAGAGGCCCTCACTCATATCAAACCATAGCTGGCTGAAAAGCAAATTCATAAGGAAAGCCATAAAGTTTAGGCTTCAGGAAATCTATTTTCAAAGCCTTGAAAGGTGCCTCAAAAGTCTGTCTTCTTAGTTTTTGTTGTTGCTTATTTTTGAAACAGGATCCCACTGGGTAGCGCTGGCTGGCCTGGACCTCTCTATGTACACCAGAATAATCTGAAACCCAGAGATTCATCTGTATTCCAAGGGCTGGCCTTGAAGGTTTTTATCTGGACATCTGAATGCTTTTCTTGAGAGAGACGTCTCAGGTTGTGTAGGCATCAGGCTGGCTCAGAAAATCTGGACCCTCTCTCACTGGGTCTAATACAAACCAACAGTCTGCAATGGTGGTCCTACTGGGCAGGACACAGTGCCTAGTTTGGTGGATGTTGAAACGTGAAATCAGTTCTTGCCAATTATGTGACATGCACAGTAGCAGGCTAGTAAGCACTTGCCTTCGAATTTGTAACACTCACTCCATGACCCTGCCTGAGCTTCAGGCTCAGACCAGTCATGTCCCAAGAATTTGAGTCAAGAAGATGAGGAAAATGCTTAAGCCATGTCAGCACCAAGTTAGAAAACATCTTAGGAACCCACTCCATGCTCATCTCAGAGCTGTTGGTTTTCAGAATGGTGAAACCAAGCACAGGTGACCCTCATAGACAGCTACTCACTGAGCTGCCTTACAGTGACATATATCATTTCCCCAGATAACTGGAGGAACAGATAAACCCTTTCATCCTGGCAAGGACAGCAAAATAAGATCCTAAGCTTAAAACATCAGGGCACCAAGAATGTAAAGGCTCTTCTGGTTGTAAATTGAGTCAAACAAAGTTCACTGGGGAACTCACTGTGTCTCAGCATCTGTTAATCCTGAAAATTACCTTCCTAGAGCCAGCCTTTCCCTGAACAAATACCATGCTCTCTCCCTGGCCAGGCAGGAAGATCGCATGTTCCAAGGGTTCCCGATTTCTGTTGAGTCCCTTCCTCAGAGACAACTGAAGCAGCTCTTCTGCCCATTTCTCCCAGGCAGGTGGAAAGCACAAGGAGCCAGCATCACAGAGTGGCTAAGCCCCAGGAATGTACTGCAAAAAGAGACCCCTTTTCTATCCATCTTAACAGTAAGAAATGACCCCGAAGCAGCTCCGTGGGGCCACAGGTACCATCAAATTCAATCCCTATTGCCTTTGCCTCTAGATCCAACCATGAATCCAGCCTGCAGGCAGACAACATACCAGCACTGTAGTGACTCAGTAGCCCCTCATACAGGATCCAGGCTGCCCTACACCAGCCATGCCCACTGAGGTCACTTATCAAGTCCAGAGAGACTGGGCAGCTCAGTGAAGAGTACTCACCAGGGCTCCTCCCTGTAGAGGGAGGAAGGCTTCCAGGCAGCAGAAGCAGCCGCTTGTGAGGACAGCTGAGCTCCTTCCCTGACTTGGAGCAATGCACACAGAAGCTAAAGACAGAATCCCCGTTTCAGAGCTCATTCATCAACAGTCCATCTTTGCTGTGGTTTTTTTGTTGTTGTTATTTTTGGGGGTTTTTTGTGTTTTGTTTTGTTTTGTTTTGTTTTTTGAGTGAACTAGGACCTTCCCCACTGCTGCTCCAATGGTGGGAAAATGGGCTCATCCTGAACTAAAGCAAATCACTTCCCCTCACAAGCTATATTTGAATTAGGAAGCCCGCAATGGCTAGCTTGTGAAAGTGGATGAAAGGAAAACAGTGTCTTTGCTTTTGTTTTGTTTCAGTTTTGAAAACCATGACTGACAACTAATTCTGCTGACATAAATCTTTCTTATGTTTTTGTCCAAAGGGAGTTCATTAGTATACAATGCAGTCCATATTAAAAAGCAACTGTGTGGTCAAGATCTGATCATAGGCTGTTTTGTGCTATGCTGATGGACCCTTTGGAGTAAGGTATAACAAAGAACACCTCTTGACGCATCCAGTGAGGTGTATGCTGAAACACTGAAGGTGCTGAGTCTGTGGGAGTCCCCTTTAGAAGAGATACAGAAATAATGTCCTCCTACCCTCTGAACAGATTGTATAATGAACATATCTCTTTGTTCATCAATTTAGAAGCAATTCATACAGATATTTTCTGCTAGTTACTATTGTAAAGCTGGGTTCACAGGCCATGGTAAAATAGCAGATGTGGCCAGCAGCAGTAGCTAATGAAGTGGATCTCTTCTCACGGCTCCACAAACTGTGATTAAAACCATTGGTTAAGATCACACAAAGACACAATGAGTGCTGAATCAGTTACATATTTATTTTAACATCATATCCTCTGCCTGTGAGGGAAGGACAAAGATAATACACATTGTTTTCACCTATTAAAGCACTAGAATTTTATTTTTATTGTATTTTCTTTGTCCCGAAAACTAGGCAACCATTCAGAATCATAAAGCAAATACAAGGGAGCCAGGCAGCCCGAGGCACCCCCTCTACAGCCTCCTCCATCGTCAGATTCTGGGGTGGCGGAACACACCTTGGCCATGTGCCACAAAGGTTGAAGGACAGCATAGAGCAACACAAGGACAGTAACATATCCTCTTGGACAGAAAATTTCTCAGATGCATGACCCAAAGATCGCCCTTGAGAGACTCACCTAGTGGTGGTTGCTTAGCTACTTACATCTATTATGTCTCTTTAGGATACAATAATGGATGTGTATATGTATATGTATTTATTGGAGTACTGAAACCAAGCTAATTAATACATTATTCACTTTTTGAGATCAGGTCATTTAAAACACACTCTCAAGGTTTTCAAGTATTATTATATTATTGTTGTTGTTATTACTATTAATATCATCATCATCATCATCATCATCATCATCATCATCATCATCTGTGGTCCCCAGACTGCACAGGAGCTGCTCAGAGCTTATCTTTCGATGTAACTGAACCTTTGTACTACTCGGCTGGTTCCTCCCTATTCTCCTCAGCCCTTACTTCTGTCCCTAGTAACCCTCTACGCTGTTCTCTGATTCCATGAGTTCACCTTTTTTATATTCCAAACATAACTGACATAATGCAGTGTTTGTTTGTTTGTTTGTTTGTTTATTTTTCTCCCAGCTCGTTTCATTCAGAATAATGTTCTTTAGTTTCATTCCTCAGTATTACGAAAGACAAGGTTTGCAACTCACGGTCATCAAGACCCTGCCAGCCAAGGACCACTGGTCCAGTGCCACTCAGTGGACTCACCTGGTGGACTCCCATGTCCTGCTGCAGCTGTGGCAATTGCAAAAGCAGAGGCAGGTGAAACGGAGCAGTGGGGACTGTCAGCCACCTGTCCTGGTTATTAAAAAAAAAAGAAAGGAAATGGAATGGTGAGGTACACAAATGATATTCTGTAGTGAATACCCTCATTTTCATACCTATACTGGATGAGCGGTTGGCTCAAAGGCACGATGCCCTTCCTGCTAAGAGGCACATATGAGATTCTATACCAGCAATCCCATTCTAGGCATACGGCAAAGCAAAGCACACGTCCATGCAAAAACCTGCACATGAATCCTCACAGAAGTAGCACTCACTGTAGCCAAAAACTAGAAACAATTAAATGCCCAATAAGCTGACAGATAGATTTTAAAAAGATATTTTTCCATCATAGAAAGGGAAGAAGTTCTGACACATACTATAAAATGGACGAATCCAGGAAGAAGTGTACCAGGTGAAAGAGCCAGTATGGAGGTCATTCACTGAGTGAGTCTCTCTGGGTAAATGTGTAAAATAGGTGAATCCAAACATGGAGATCATAGATTAGTGGGTCTGGGACAGGTAGAGATGGGGAGTTTGTTGATGACTGTAGGCTTTCTTCAGGGTAATGAAAATGTTCTAAAATTAAGCCATCGTTATGGCTGCATGCCTTTTGAGTATATAAATTCCAACAAACTATACATTTTAAAAAGGACATTTTTGTGGTAAATGAATTCTAACTCAACATAAAACTAGTTTTAAAAGACTCTACATCATGTTTTTAGTACAATTTATCAGTTATGGTTGGGTGCTTATTAAGCATGTGTGAGGCCTTTGGTTTGATCTGGTCCCACAGGAAGGATGACTTAAGTGTAGCCCATCTAAAACTGAAAGACTGCAGGGCTGGGGGCATCCCAGTGGGTAAAGCGCTTGCCACAGAGCATAATGAACTGTGTTGGGATCTCCAGTAGACACTCAAAACGCCAGCCTGGCAGCACACACCTGGAACCCCAGAGCTGAGGCGGGAATAGGCAGATCCCCAGAACTACTGGCCACCAAGTCTAGCAAATTAGTGAGTTGCGGGTTCAGCGAGGGCTCAGTAAAGAAGGTAGAGAGGGATAGACCACACGCATGCACTCATGCATACACTCAAACTTTCTCAAGGCTTCTTGTTGCCAAGCCTGTTACTCTAAATCAGACTGCTGAACTCTGGTTCAATCCCCAGGACCCACATGGTGGGAGGACAGAGCCAACTCCCATGACTCTCATGAGTTGTCTCATGAGTACCACATACACGTCCTCCCTAGTAAATAAATGAGTGTAATTTAAAGCATTTACTTTTTTGAATAAAAGGATGTAATAAACAGCCTCTGCAGCCACTTTCATTTCTTAGACTGTACTAATCGTGTACAATTTCCTAATGCTGTTACCAGCGTCACTGTTTTCCCCTAGGCTTTTAGTAAAAACAGTATGCTATGATTCTGATCTGAAAAGCATCGAATAGCTTGCTACTGAATTTTAATATTCATACTATAAAAAACCAAGTGAATAGATGGACAATAAATAAGATGGATGGGTAGATATAGTTGTCATATAGAGAACAGATTAGATAGATAGATAGATAGATAGATAGATACATAGATACATAGATAGATACATAGATACATAGATAGATACATAGATAGATACATAGAGAGTAGACAGACAGATAGTAGATAGACAGATAGATGATAGAATGGATAGATGAATGCCTAAGTTATTAATGGATAGATGGGTACACAGATAGATGAAGTAAAGAGTTTCACAATGTGCCCAGACATGAAACCAGGTGGCAAATATATCAGTAAATAAGAAATATATTGGCTAGACAATAAGAAAATATATGACAGTCTCTCCAATTTGTAGCCACTATTTTATCCCAGGTTCTAGGTTACTCCCTGTGTTCTCAAGTCTCTGTGAGAGATAATAAATAATAAGTCCTTATACAAATTAAAGTCTTTATATGTGACTGCACATATGACTATAAAACAAAGCTCTAATAATGACAGGGTGAGCATTAACTCTTGCCTGTCCTCAGCAGCTTCGCCACATTTTCTCCCACGTGGCAATGAACCCAGGGAAGACCACTGTGGCACTTACCAAGGAAAGTGCCAGGTCCTGCATCAACTGAGGCATTAGGAATAGTGGAGAGTTTTAGCCCATTTCACAGCAGTCATGTGACAAGATAGGAAAGCCTAGCTGGCTGGCCTTCATTTGCCAGGACCACCTGAATGGCAAGGGGGTTGGTAACTAGCCAGGAATGGAGCTTAGATTTAGCCCAAACCTAACCCAACCCTAACTCGTCTTCCTGTTCTCACAGCTGAGCGCTGCTGCTGACAGAGTCCATGGAGAGGTTGGGGCCACAAAGGCACGGACCTCTTGGACACATGTACTTTCATCTCTTGCTGACATGCCATAGCTGAAGCCTGAGGGTAAGAGATGAAAACAACCTCTGCACTTTGCTTGAATTACCTGGAGTGAATCTGGTTTCCTAATTTTTTTTCCTTCTGACTTAAAATAATCAGCTTTGCAAGGAGCCAGGGAAAGGAGATGTTTCAAAACAACTCTGATTTGGATATGTATTTGATCAGTAAGGACAGAAAATGGGGAGATAAACTATTTATGCTTTTTGAACAGTTTCTCTTTCAATTAGCAGATAATTTGTTCTTTGTCAAAACAAATTATGAAATCATATGTCATAATTTTTACAACTGCATGCTGAAAAAATATACCGGGTTCTATCACTAGTAATAATGATAGCATCCTATGCAACGGAACGTTGTTTTATACAAAATAAGAATTACTAAAATGGTTTTCCCAAGCCTCCTCATAATGCTTACACTCAGGGAAAGGAATCTAATTCCTCAACTAGTCACCCCCAAGGAGCGACATTTTAATGGGATCAACAATATTAGCCAGACTTCAGCAAGGCTTCCTGAGCAGTGACACTGCCAATTCTTGTCACATTCAATGCTGCTAGTTAACCTTTGTAACTAAGTGGACACTGACCTAGATGACTTTCTGTTTCTGAATGCCTGTCTGAGCTCTTACCTCCAGGCTGCCGGTATCGGAGGTGCCGGGGAGTGGAGGGGGATCTACAGGGAGACAGCTCTGCAGAGTCCGCTACTCGGTCAGCTGCTGCAGAATCCAGGACAGCTGCTGGAAAACACAGCAATGTTAGAGGCTGTGAGGGCAGAAAGACCCGGGCAAAAAGATACACGGAAACAGAGATTTCTTTCTCTATCAGAAGCATTTTTATATTGGCTTACACATTTAATTTGCTTTCCTGTGGAATCAAGTCATTCTTTTTGTTTGTTTGTTTGTTTTTTGTGTTTGTTTGTTTTGTTTTTTTTTTTTTTTTTTGGTTTTTTGAGACCAGGTTTCTCTGTGTAACCTTGGCTGTTGTGGACTCACTTTGTGGACCAGGCTGGCCTCGAACTTAAGAGATCTGCCTGCCTCTGCCTCCCAGAGTGCTGGGATTGCAGGTATGAGCCACCACACATGGGTGAATCAAGTCATTCTCATCAGTAGAACAGTAAGAACATAATAATCTTCACTGCCCAGGCTTGTGATTCACTGGTACTGCTGAACCTGAAGGTTGGCCTTGGCTCGCCCCTCTGTCCAACAGGAAGTGAAAAAGAACACACAGTACACAGTCGATCTCATGCCTTCCAGAATGGCTTTTTCTTGGAGCACAGAAAAATAAACTTCTTCAGGTTAGAAGTTTAACCTTAGGAGTCAAAACTAAGATTTTTTTTTTCTTTGCATAGGCTGCCCCTTAAGGCAAGCAAAGTTTGCTCTGTTGCCCCGTGTCCCAGAAAGCTTTGGGAGGGGTTCTTTAGGGTCTAGTGATGCTCTCCTCACATGGTAGCACTAACCAACATGGCTTTATGGGAAATTTATATGAGCTAAAATAAAGTCATATTTTAACTTCCCACTAGCACTGGTCATGTCAATGCTCAGTGGCCAACAGTGGCCAGTAACCATAATTTTGGACAACAGAGCTATCGGGCAATTCTCTCTCATCCTGGGCAGGTGTGTTGACTAGCTGCAAAGCAGAGCTACATATCATTAGGAAACAAGCAAAATGTTGTTTTCTTTTTCTGGGTAGCTTTTGTGAATGCTAGGCAAAAGCTTTTCCTCAAAACTGCCTCTCTAGCCCAAGTGAAATGATCTTTAGTGAAATGTAGAGAGTGTAAGATGATTTGGGTCCCTGGGTGGCAGCTGACATCCTGAGAATGAAGAACTTGTCTTTATTTCTGGGACTGTAGGATGGGGCTACCAGGATGGTGCCTCTAAATTCCTTCCCAACTTCTTTTGCAGGTAAAACCATAGCATGTGTATTATTCCAAAGGAAAGTGTTGGACTTTAGATCCAGACAAACAGCTAAGTTGCCTTTTGGACCAAAGAAGACATGACTCCCAGGTTCCCCCAGCACCCTTTGGTCCCTACCCGCTGCAAGGCATGGCTGGCATACCCTGCTGTTTACCCTCAACTCCCCAGCCCCAAAATGAATACATACTGCAAGGCATGGCTGGCATACCCTGCTGT